CAAGATCGCGTATTAGATTATTTAAAAAAAATTGACAAGGAAGTTGGAGACCTTCGAAAGGAAGTTTCGGACATCCAAAAAATGATGGAGAGAAGTAAAATGATGAAAGAAAGTGATAATATGTATAATCCAACATTTATTAAAGTAAATATTTTATTTTATTTTATTTAAAAAAAAATTATTTCACTCATAATATTTTGAAAAAAAAAAATTATTGAAGAAATTACAAGCAAATCAATTGAAAACATATATCTGAATGATGATATTCTTAAAGTAACTGCAAGCAAGTTACTTAGTAAAAAAATATTTGGAGCTTTTTGAAGGTTGAAAAAATAGTCACTGGACATTTTATTATAATTTAATTTTAAAAAAAAAGTAAGTTTTACTGAATATATTATAATCTAGATATCTCAAAAATTAACAAAAGATTTTAAATTATTTTAAAGTTAAAAGAAAAGTATCAGTTCAGAAGAGAGGTGCTATCTACCCAAATTAGACATTCTATATTTTTTGTATTTAGGAATATAATTTCAAAATATTATTATAATTTAAAAAATAAAAATAAATTTAAATTAAGGATAGATCCTAAAAAATAAGAATAGATTTTAAAATAAAGATAAATCATCAGTAAATTTTTTTAGACATTAACTTTCAAAGGATTTTTTATATTTTTTGACTTCGCTCGCAAATTATAAAGTGTAGAGCGATTTTCTACTAAGATATTTCTAAGATAGAAAGAAAGACCTTGTTCTTGGCTACATAACAGTATATGTTTCATCCCGGTAGCATTGATATTCGCGGAGTTATTTTAGTTTAAATAAAAGTGTCTGTGAAAAAATCGTGTAAAAAATTTGGATTACAATTTTTTTACAGAGGTTTTTCTTTAAACTAAAATAACTCTGCTAATATCAATGCTACCGGGATGAATCATATACTGTTATGTAGCCAAGAACAAGGTCTTTCTTTCTATCTTAGAAATATCTTAGTAGAAAATCACTCTACACTTTATAATTCACGAGTGAAGTTGAAAAACATAAAAAATCCTTCAAAACAAACAAAAATATTTCAAAGGTTAATGTCTAAAAAAATTTACTAATAATCCTAAAAATAAAAATAAATCTTAAAAATAAAGATGGAGCCTAAAAATAAGGATGGATTCAGATTTATTCTAATTAATTATAAATATTTAAGGATAAGGATTTATAATTCAGATTTGATCTAGAAAATCTAAATCTAATTCAGATTGTATTTTGAAATAGGATCAGAACACTACTTCAGACTTAGCATATCCCTTTGCCTATTTGTATTTAATATTTTGTTCATTTTTTTTTATTTGACCTGTAATGTCAATAGATATTTCTTTAGGTTTGTTTTATGGAGCTGGTGATTGGAATTGGATTCCTTTAAGCAAATTGGATATTCAGATTACTTTTAAATTGAATATTCAGATGAAAATAAATAACTCACTAAATTTTTTTTTTATCTGATATTAGATAAAATAGGTTTAATTGTCATAATCTATTTTTCAGATTTCATCTGGTTTTATCCAAATTATATTCAATCCAGGTTAATTATTATAATATTTAAATTTCAAACTAGATAAAATAAAATTTAACTATAATACATCAAGAAATTTTAGGAGACAAAAATTTGTGCCAAAATTTTTTTTTTAGATCTTTTCAACTTCATTTAAACATAGAGTGATTTTTTACTAAGATGTTTCTATGATAGATAGGACTGCCTTGTTGTTGGCTACAAAATGGTATGTGTTTAATCCCCGTAGAATAAATATTCGCGAAGTTATTTCAATTTAAAAAAAACGTCCGTGCAATTTCCACGAAATTACTGCGGAATTTAGCGTTATGAATTTTCGGCACGATTTTTCACGGACGTTTTTCTTTAAACTGAAATAACTCTGTGAATATTGGTGCTACAGGGATGAAGCACATACATTTTGTAGCTAAGAACAAGGTCGTCTTATCTATTATAGAAATATCTTAGTAGAAAATCGCGAAATTGAAAAATGTAAAAAAATGCACAAAATATATTTATCTCAGACAGTATTATATAATATGAACATGTGACACTATACTCGAATTTCTTTTTTAGAAATATCTTGCTAACCGAAGTCGTTTTTTTTCGTTCGACTAGTATCTGGGATACTTTCTAATATAGGTAAAGAAAAAAAACAAAATCATGGTAAGTTTTTTTACTACAATTTCCATTATATTTCACTACATTTTCACTACATTTTTGACTACATTTTGACTACATTTTCACTACGTAGTATTTACTGAAAATAATGCTAATTTTGAAACATAAATAGATTTTATATATTTTTATTTTTAGTCGACATGGGAAAATGCGATTAAAGAAATGGTATCAATACTTTTCGGATAAAGATAAAACAACTCTTACTAATGACTTAACCACACTAATATTATCTCGAAAACGAAATATGTGTAATGTATTGGAACATGGTCAACATAAGGTAAATGTTAATAATAATATTATTATTATTTGATAATGTTTTCGATAATATTCTCAATAATTATTATTAGTGATATTATTAATTACTCGGTTGGAATAATAATGAAGATAATAATAATAACAACAATAATAATAATTGATCTTTTCGTTAAAAAAATTTTTTTTTTAAATTTTTTAACTATTTAGGTGATATATAAAAGGTAAAAAATTATTACAATTATTACATTGAATTTACAATGAATTTATAAATTTATTCTCAATAAAATTTTTTAAATAATATAATAATAATAGATATGCAAGTCTTTATTTTGCAGCTGGTATAGATTGGGATGAGAATGAATTATATGTATTAGAAGCAATTCATCGTTATGTACAAGTTCTTGATGAATTTTTTGGAAATGTTTGTGAATTAGATATTATTTACAATTTTGATAAGGCTTATTATATTTTAGATGAATTATTTATAGGTAAATAATTTTATTAATTTTTTCTTTATTTGTATTTAAATTTATAATTATGATCTATCAAAATATATAATATATTATTATTTTTTATTATGATTTTTATTATTAGCTGGTGAGTTACAAGAATCAAACAAGAAAGCAGTAGTCAGTAAGTTGATTAATTTGATTAATTGATTGATTTATTAAATTATTAAAGTTATATTAATTTTATTAAATTTATTTCAAAATAGAATATATAAATAGTTTTCAACAAACTTGTGAATTAGATACAGTAACTAGAAATCTTGAAGAATCTATAAGATAACAACATTATTATTATATACTGTTATATATTTATATTAATACATTTAATTTCATAATTTTTTTATAATTTATTATAATATATATTGTAAATTCACATGATAATCTATTTATATAATTTATATTTTATTTTCTTGATGAGATCAAAAAAATAATAAATTTAATTTAATTTAATTAATTTAATTAATTTAATTGAGATCAAATATCAATATCAATATCAAATATCAGATATTAATTAATTCATTTTTTTTTCACTTTTCTGCCTGCTTTTTTCTTCTTCTTTCTTCTCAAATACTCGAATACATAAATATTTAAATATATATAAATATTTTCAAATGAGAAATGATTAGAATAGTGATCGTTTGTTGTTAATTTATTTTCATTTTTTATTATTATTTTCCTCTGGGTTTTGCTAATGCAAAAAGTGCTGTACCAACTGCAATTGCTACAACTGCAATAGCTACACCAACAATTCCCTCTATTAAAAAAAGAAATATAGAAATATAAATTCATGAAAATTTAATATGTAATTCACTTTATTCTCATATAAATATAGATAAACATATTTACAAATATTATGTAATATATAAATTATATATTAATATTTTTCATACCTTTGTTTAATTTATTTTCTATAAGTTGTTTTAAACTTTGACCTTGCATATTATTAGGTTCCTTTTCTAATAATTGATTATTGAATTCTTTGGCTCTTGTGTATTCTCCTAATTTATAATGTCCCAATGCAAGATAATAAAGACATTCACGACGACGTTCCCTTGATTCTTGAAAGATTTCTAATTAATATAAATTATTATTGATATATAGATATATATATATAATATCAAATATAATATAATAAATTATATTATATATTCTAACCTGCAAACAACCGAACACCTAATTGTTGTTCAGGTTTCTTTTTACTTTTAATTAAACCCCAAGCATAATTAAATTTAGTTTGTGTTGTTACGTCATTTCCTTCTCGTTCAAATTGTCTTTTAAGTACCTAACAAATAAAAATAAAATAAATAAAATACATTTTGTGAATGTTTATGCTGCTAAATAATCATAATTCTCGTCGTCGGCTGTAAAAAAAAAACACTTACATTCAATTCTTCATGGGAAAGAGAGGACTCTGCATCAGCAGCATATGGAAGATCTGAATCTGAAGTAGACATAATTTAAATTTTTTGAATTTGATATTTGATTAACTTTGATTAACTTTTGATAACTAAAAAAAAAAAATCCTGAAATCGTAATCTGGATAACAATATTCTCAGTGACACAAAATTAATTCAACAATTAATTAATTAATTTAATTAATTTAAATTTAATCAATTATCTTGATCAAAAAAAAACAATCATAATCATATATAAAACAATTTAAACAATTTGAAAATTATTTATTATTATTATTATTTTTTTAAATTTCAAGTTATTCACTTTATTTAATCAAGGTCAATATAAAAAAAATTTGAATAAAGAAAAAAAAAGAACATATTGTATATATACGTATTGTAAAAAAATAAATAATTTGATGATCATTTTTCTTAAATTTAAAGAAAAAAAAAAATCAATACGGTATATATATATGTATATCATAAAAAATAAATTTTCGTATTCGTGCTTAATTTAAATAAAACAATAACCAACCCAAGAAGCCCAAAATAATATTCCAGTATTCCGGGGAACTCTGGTAATATATAATAAATTGAAATGAAAATAATAATAATAAAAAACCTGCACGAAACGAATGAATGAATAAAAAACCCCCAAGAAAATAATAAAAATAATAAAAATAATAAATAATAAAATAATAAAAATAAAAATAATAAAAATAAAAAAGATAAAAATCAAAATTATGATAAAGACTTTCTCGAAATACTATTTAAATTATGAAGCAAATATATAAAATTGTATATATGAATAAATGTATTTTTTTTTGCTTTTGTATACATTTTTGTTAAAAAAAAAAAAAGAAAAGGCCATTTAACACAAAAAAAAAACATTGATATCTATTTTAAATATTTTTTTTTAATATGAATTTTATATATTTTTATATATTTTTATATATATATAATTTTTGTACCTCATATTTAAAAACATAATTATTTTTGTTAAAAAGCAAATAATAATTCATTCCATCATCAACAAACAACAAAATCTAAATTAACATATTTAACTAATATTTGGTTCTCTAAATTAAAAAAAAATGAATGAATGCAGATATCAATAAGACATTTTGCATTCATCTTACTATATATATGATATTAATAGACTAATAATAATGATAATAATAAATACAGACCCGACTGACCGCTCGTATATAAATATTAAAAAATATATAAAGATTAAAAATGAAAGTAAATATTATATAAAATATAATCAGCAAAAAAAAAAGACAACAGCATTAATTCCATTAATTTCATTGTGATAAATTATTATTATTATTATTATTATTGAGGAGTTGTTGTTCTTTTATAGATTCTATTAAACCAATATTATTATTATTATTATTATTATTCCATATATAAAATTTGATTTTTCTTATTTCTTTTTTTTTTTTAAGGAGAAAGAGGAGGAAGGGTCACATTTGACATGTTTGAAATATAAGATTTTTGGTTGGTGCCGGCATTGAGAGGTGGCGAAGGTAATCCAACGCTATTATAGTGAGTTCCATTATTATTATTGTTGTTATTATTATTATTATTATCGGAAGGTCCACGAACTGAAGCGGCTGATGCCATGGCTTGATCTAAATCAACTAAAATCGCTGTGGTTCTATTCAATAACATACTAAGATGTGATACTTCACGTTGCAATTCTTGACGATGAGCTTGTAAAACTTCTTGAGTAAGATTAGGATCTGCATTAGTAATTGGTGCAGAATTAATAGGAGAAGTTGCAGTAGTCAAAGGAGGGGTAATCATAGGATGAACTACATTTTGAGTTAATTGAGGTGAAGAATGACGAGAATGACGATGAAGATTCAACTCCATAACATTATTTGTTGACATATCGTTAGAAGTAATAACATTTGACATGGAATTAATTGGAGGTAATTGAGGTGTGGTAGGATTCAATAATGAAGAAATAGAACTTGATGAATTTGGACTTGTTGATAATGATGATGTTGATAAAGCGGGAGATGCGGAATTACCAGAAGTATAATGAACAGGTGAACTGGAACCATCATTATTATTATTATTTTTATTGTTGTTGTTGTTGTTGTTACTGCTATTATTATTATTATTATATTGACCGGAAAAAACGGATGGTAAAGGAACAGTCGGAGTTCCCATGAGACGTCCTTGATGAATGAGAACTTGCATTCCTGAATTCAAAGATGGTTCAACAGGTGTCAAACTTCTACGACGTTCATCATTATCATTGTTCCACATTGGCTCACGATGACGATGATTATTATTATGTTTATAATGATCTTCAATTGCAAGAATTTGTCGACCATTATTTCCACATCGTCTTTTATTGATAACAGAATAATCATCTACTTTTCTCTTACGACTAATTGGCGATGATAAATCTTCAATTGAACAAATCTCATCTTCAGAAGAAATATATCCACGTTCAGAACCAGAAGTGGAAGCTGGAGTAGGAGGATGATGATGATGATGATGATGAACTCGACTTTTACGAAGTGTGGATTCATTGTCAGAATTATTATTATTATTATTATTATTATTATTGTTATTGTTGTCATTATTATTATCACTATTATTACCACTAGTAGTAGTAGTATTGGTGGTGGTGGTAGAAGATGGTGGTGGGGAAGTAGCCAAAGCTACACGTTTTCGACGTTTAATAACTGATCGTTTCATTGTAACTGGACGATGGACGTTATGTAACTTGAAATAAAGTCCACAAGCATTACAGATTGTATTGCCAGTTTCGTCTCTTCTCCAAAGAGGTGTAGTATTTGTACCGCAGTTAGTACAGATTAAAGTTTGACGATTGACTTGATGTTGGTTATAAGCGGGGCATCCATTGCAAGAATCTGAACCCCCTGTGCCATCACAATGACCGTCCCCTGGGCAAGTTCCTCCATTATTGAGATTTTCGGGAGCTTCGGGAATGATAGGTGTAGCCTTTTTGATGGAATTACGCTTTAACCAAGGTGGGCGAACCGTATTACGAGCTTTAAGATAAAGTCCTATAAAAAATATAATAATATAATAATATATAAAAATGTAAATAAAAATATAAATAAAATTTTTACATTTAAATTTTCAACAAATGTTTTAAAATTTAAAATTTACGAACCACAAGCATTACAAATCGTTTCTCCGTTTGGAGCTCTTCGCCAAAGTGGTGTGGTTGTAGTCTCACAATTGGCACAAACCGTAGCAGATACACCATGACCTTCCGTTTTACAACGTGGTGACAGAGAACCTGAAGAACCTTTTCGACTAAGAGATGTCATATGTTGAATAGGTTGCAGTTGCGGTTGTTCCGGTTGCGGTTGTTGTTGTTGTTGTTGTTGTTGATGTTGTTGGTGGTGGTGGTGGTGATGGTGGTGAGGATGATGGTGCTGTTGTTGTTGAAACTGTTGTTGCTGATTTTGTTGTTGTTGATAACTTTCAGAAATATTATTATTATTATTATTATTATTATTATTATTATTAGAGGAAAGGTGGTGTTGAACTTCCATAATTAATCACAGGAAGGTTTATAAAATAAGAAGCTTTAAACAAAAAAAAAACAATGTATTTTTTGCTACTGTTTGTATAAAAGGTATTTAAAAGTAGGAGAAAAATGGGTTGACTTGTAATACGCGACAGGACAGTTGGCAATTTAAGAAAGATACTTCTGAAGAGAAGTATTTTTTGCCGAGGTGAAGGGTAACTAATTTATTAGATTATATAAGTGTTATTACTAGATGAAGGTTGGGCTTTCAATGTGGTATAAAGCAAGAGAGCGGTCAGTGGTAGCAGGTCTAGAATATTTTGTAATAGCAGTCCACTTATGCATTGGACGATTGGAGAACGCTAACGAAATTAGCGAATAGTCTCTTTTGAAAAAACTAAAAATCAAAAAATACAATAATATTAGTTAATTAAAAAGAGAATGAAATATTTAATATATTTTTTAACGCAGTACTTTGGAAAAAAAATAATAATAATTTTTTTATTTATAGTATTATTAAGAGACGAAAAAGATAAAGATAAAGAACGAAGGCAAAAATTTGAAAGAAGATTTTTGAAAATTTTTTTACCAAAAAATCTGGGCTTTTTATCTCTTTTAAAGAAGAAACGATAAGAGATGATAGGAATGATTGTAAAACCTTTTTTTTTTGCTTTTTTATTTTATTTTATTTTTTTTTATTTATTTGAAGTTATTTTAAAAAGAGTATACAATAAGATAAGATTATAGAGATTATAATAACTTACTTTCAAAAGTGCGATAATTTGATAAGAAATCTTTTTTTTTTTCGTGTTTATTGTATTTTTTTTTTTTTAAAAAAAAAAAATATTTATCTTTCTTATCGATCTTTCTTCTTATTGGGAGAAAAAGAATTACAAAAAAGAAATTTTATTGACACAAAAATTTTAGGGGAGGGATTCTCAATTTTTTTGGTAAAAAGAAAATTTAGTTTTAGATAATTTTGGAAATTTAGGAAAATTTATTTATGAAGGAGTGGTGATGCAGCATTGCATTTTATAATGATTTTTGTTTGTATCAGTTTCAATTCTGCACTGAGACAGATATCACTGAGTAAAAATTCTCTGCGTAATTATCGATAAATATTATCAAACATATAAATAAAAATCTATATCATTACATAATTGAATTATTATTCTGCATATAAACAAATAGAGTAACCAAGAGATAAGCCAAATTCGATTCATCCAACAGGTTTTTTTTATTTAATCTCGTTCTTGATAAATATGACATCCAATAAAAATTTGTGTTATGTTTTAAAAATAAAGCTTCTCACGGAGCCTTATAAAAGTGTTAAAAACACCTAAATATAGGATTTAATTGGAATTGACTAGAAATTGACTAAATTGACTACAAATGACGAACTTTAAAATTTTAAAATTAAAAGTTGATTATTTTTGGTATTTTTTAATATTTTATTAGGTAAAAATGATATTTAATAATAATATGTAGTGATGATCGCTAATATTATTTAACTGTCTATTAAAAATCAATCAAATAATCATTCAATAATATCCAATAATATCCAATAATATTCAATAATCTCATTGACAACAAAATAAATTCTCAAGTTCAATATCCAATAATCTAATTTACATAATTAACATGTGAGAATTATTTCTTTGCTTAACATTGTTCATGTTGTTAAACAATTACGTTTAAAATATAAATTTAAATTAATTAAAATGTAATATTGTCCAAAAATATTCTAATTCTTATCTTAGACCCCCTATATAAATAAATAAATTTTTAATGTTTTATCCACGTGATATATACAATTGTGATACATATACAATTAAGACTGAAAGTCTAATTCTTCGAGTAATATTACTTCCAAGTGATTACCAAGTGATTACCAAGTGATTACCAAGTGATTACCAAGTGATTACCAAAGTGATTACCAAAATGATAACTAGGTAAAAAAAATATAACAAAAAAAAAATATAACAAAAAAAAAATATAACAAAAATTGAGTCAATTATTAGAGTTTAATATTAATACTATTCAAAATTTGGGAAATACATTAATTATACATTTAAAATAAATATATCTTTTATTTTTTTTTTTGATCTCACTTAAAGAACGTATAATATGCTCATAAGAATTAATATTTTTTTATAAAATTTTTTTTTTTCAAAAATGTGCTCTGTAATAATAATAAAAAATGTAGTTTCAACACGCACATATATATGTAAATATATGTAACCGATAAAATATATGTATAAATGATAAATAGATGTAAATGATAAGAATAATAAATAAGTAAATGAGAATGAAAATATTGAAAGAAAAGATGATAAAAAAGATGTTGATTATCTGGAATTATAATCAATTATAATCTCTCGTGCTACTGAACTAAGCATGTTATTATCATGTTTTATTTATTTTTACGTTTTAAAATTTCATGTATACGTGTTTGCAATGTTTACATATATAAACATATATATACATATACATTAATATATTTATATATATTTTATATACTAATATTTATATATTTATATATATTAAATATTCTTATCTTTTTTTTTTCATTTTTTTTTTCGAAGTCGAGACTCTTTTCGAGGAGGTGAATCATAATGATGATGTTATATCGTATTATATCATGTAATAATTGTAATAATACTAATTATTATTTATTATTATTTATAATAATAAAATTACGATGTAACACTGCAGTAAATGTTATAAGAGATTATCTTTTTTAGGTATTATTTTTCTAGAATATTTCTCAATTATTATACAGTATTACGATTATTGTTAATTATTACTATTATTTATTTATTATGTATTATTATCCTTTTACTATTAACTGTTATTTATTTATTTAATACAGACGGCTGTTTACGAATGTTTACGAATGATTTACCATTTTCTTTACAAAAATATCATCAAATTGATCGTTCACAAATATCATACAAATGAAATAAAAATAAAAAACAAGAAAAATCATACGTTTATTATACTATTATACTATAAACATTAGAATATATCTAATAAATAGATATATCGAATATATCGAATTTACGAAAGAACGTATCAAAAGAATGCTAAAGAACTTATTTATTAGTAAGCAACTCGCATGCACAGATAAGTCGAGACTAATCAGATTACAAGTGTGTGAATAAAAAGCTTGATTTAAATACTTTAACTTTTTAACTTTAAACCATAATAAACTGTATTTAATATGTATAAACTATATTTAATATGTATAAACTATATTTAACTATAAATTGTATAAAAATATTAAATATTAAAAATAATATTTTTTAACCAATCAATCTTTTTGGATATGCAAAGTAACGCAATTTACGTAATTTGCTATTGATGAGTCTGTATGACAAAGTTGGAAATTATTAAAAATTAAAAATTGATCATTTAGATTGTTTTTGATTATTTTTGATAATTATTTTGTAATATTTGTAATATTCTTTTATTTATTTAATTTTTATTTTTTTTCGGACTTGATTTAAATGTATTTTTTTTTTTTATAAATAAGGTGTAAATTTACAAATAAAAATAATATAATAAACAAAGGAATTTATAAAAGCAGGACCAATAAAATTGAGCCACACAAAACTCACACAATAACACATAAAACGTGTACTAACTCCAGCTTCTCTAATTTCTATTTTTTGGTATTTCTCTTGTTATACAAAATTTTTTCAATCATTCAACATTAATTTATCTATTGGACACAATTCTTATCTTGCATGAAAATTATTACCTATATCTCATATCGAGGACCCCAGGTTAAACGTAAGGGTGAATACAATTATCCTGTGATGTTTTAGTTAAAAAATGGAATGAATGAACAAAGATAAGATGTGATCCTCTCTAATTCATTCATTTCACTAAGAATGAAAAGGAAGAATGAAAGAAGAATGAAAAAAGAATGAAAAAAGAATTAAGAATAAAAAAAAAATAAATAAATAAAAAGGAATAAAAAAAGAAATGGAATACAAACGTATTATACTAAAATTACTAACCCTTTTATATTATTGAATATAAAATAATCTTCCATCATATCAGATCAATGTTTAGATATAGATAATATCAATATTATCTTTATCATATCTATCATCTGCATAACATTCTATATGTATACATATTTAGAATATCATATATTATCTTTTTAGTATGCCACATATATAATATGCATATTTACATATATATGTGTGTGTGTGTGAAATTTTTTTAAATATATAGAAAATATATATATATATATATATTTAATTAAATATTGAACCAATAATAAATCAAAAATAATCTAAAATAATCTACAAATAATAAATAAAAAATAATCCAAAATAATAAACCAATGATAAAATCAAGTCTTTTTTGAAAATTTGACAACCAAAAAATGCAATTAAATAAATTGCCGAAAATTTTATCATTGTAATAAAATTGCCGTTAATAAAAAAACTCAATTTTAAGGTTACAGCTGATGATCTGATTAAAAATGATGATTATATTCGTGTTTCTCTGTAAATATATCATCAACGTACATATATGTGAATAAATGAGTAATATTTTTATATATTTTTATATATTTTTATATATTTATATATATATATTATGTATTTTTATCTTTGTTTGAATATTATCTATTTTGAATACAAAATGAATATCATAAAATATCATGACGAATACAAAATGAATATCATGACAAATAAGTATCATGACGTTAATAAATGATTAATAACATGATGAATACATGATGAATACATGATGAATACATGAGGCGTAAAAAAATTAAAATGTTCGATCATACTTCTCATATATCTTACATTTCTCACATGAGCAAGCATTATTTATCATTTACGCCTCCTTTACCCCAACGTTTTATCTATATGCATATAGTATATAATATATTGTTTAAATTTCTTTTAATTCCCTTTTTTCATTCATATTAAAATAAATAATAGTTTATTCTTATATATAATTTCTTCCAGTTATATTATAATATAACATTTCGATACCGTATTTCTCTTTCTAATATGGAATTTCTTCTTCTTGATACTTTCTCCCTCCTAATTTAATTATAATCAAATAAATTATAATTATTATTAATTATTAATTATTATCAATTTATTACTAAAAAAAAAGCCTCTGAAATAAAATAAGAAATCAAAGGATCACAAGATAACCATATTTTCAAATATAGTAAATGTGGAATGTTATCAATATCATCATGCATTATCTCATTTAAAACAAATCTTATCTTTCCTGATTATTATTTGATTATCTTTAATCGAATCAATCTTTAGCAGTTATATTATTATATTTATTTATTTATTATTGAAACAATTATTTTATACTTTTTTATACTCATATGTTAACGTATGTTTAATGAAAAAACCGTAATCGTTAGAAACAATAAAAAAATACTTTCAAAATACTTATTGTGTGAATATATTGTTGTATTATGTAATTACATTCGATATATGATAAATATGATAAATATTTTTTTTATTTATACATATACAATAATATTCTGCTTTATTATTATTCATTTCGACATTTTTTCTATGAAAAAAATAAAATAAAAAAAAGAAATTTGCCCAATTACAAATTGTTATTGTTACATGCTAAGCATATACTAAATGTACTAAATGTCAAAGTTAAAATGTCAAACGCTCGGGAAATAAAATTTTAAAATTTAGCGGTAATGTGTAAAATAATTAAACTAAATGAGTTTATCAGTTTGTTATACTTTTATAAATTTAAAGTTAAATAAAGTTAAAGTTAATTAATTGCTGCTAACTGACCACTAAATAACAATAAACAATAATAATAATAATAATAATTTCTAATTACTAAATAAATAATAATTACTAAACTTCATAATAACTACTAAATGAAACTAATGAATAATAATTAATAATATGTGATTACTAAATGTAAATGTAAAGGTAATGTTATCGTCATTATTATGTTTACTCTGGTTGTTGAATTTCTTCAACGAGATTCATAATAGAATTTAATTTATTAAATTTATTCAAATCGGCATCCTCGTCCTTCATTTTTCTTCTATTTAAAATACTTTGAGCGATAATGACATATATCCTCATATTCTCCATGACATCATCGAAATCATTAAAATTTGAAGAAGATTTTAATGAATTTAAAGGATTTTCTATAATATCATCAGCTGCTGCTGCTGCATTATTGTAAAGAGTATATGAATTTGGTGAAGTGATATGGATTTGTTGTTGTTGTTGTTCTAATTGTTGAGAAAAACTCTGAGATTCCAAAGGTTCAGGAGATGCAGATGGTGAAGATTTTGGAGATTTTGGCGAAGATTTTGAAGATTTTGGTGGTGACGATCTCGTGGGTGAAGACATTGGTGGGGATGATGATCTCATGGGCGAAGATTTTGAAGATCTTGGTCGAGAAATTGATGATCGGTCGTTACTCCCATTATGTAAAGATAATGATATAGGTGGCAATGGAGGTGTAGGAGATATTGGTGATGTAAAGGAAGAGTAAGAAATATCCGAAATATCTGAATTATTATTATTTGAATTCATATCTGTATTATTATTCACATTTACTGTATAATATTCACATCTATAATATTCGCATCTATAGTAGTATTCATAGAATTAATATCTAAATTTATGGCATTGGAATTTAAATTTTTGATATTTGAATTTGTTGCATTGGTATTTAATAAAGTTGAAATTACTTATAAAGAGTTAATTGAAATTGATTCGCGAGTTGATAAAGTTTAATCTTTCACGAATTCGGTGAAATCAGATGAAGCAATTAATGGTGATGATACTTCGACTTTCACTGAATAATCTGTAGAATCTTGAATTGAAGAAGCAGGTGGCGATATTGTTGTTGATAATGATTTTAATGTTACTAATTCATCAATTGAATTTTGTTGGTCAACTTCTTTTTGAGAAAAATTATCATCGATGGAATTTTGAACAAAAGTTTCAAATGATTTTGATCGAGGTGAATCGATTGAATTAATTGAATTGATTGAGTTGATCAAGTTTGATTGTGTTTCTTTTTGAGGTGGAGAATCGATAAAATTTTCAATAGTTTCAATTGAGTTTGTTGTTCAATTTCTTTTTGAGAAGAATCGATTGAACTTTGAATAATATTTTTATCCGAAACATCATTTTTTGTTAAATCTTGTGATGAATTAGGTGAATTTAGTGAATTTAGTTTAGAATTAGGTTGATCGCTTGGTTGTATGTTTAGTTGAGCATTTAGTTGATGAGTGATTGGTTGAGTAATTGGTTGAGCATTTGATTGAGTAATTAGTTGAGAATTAGGTGAGGAATTAAGAGTGAGAATAGTCTTTTGATCACGTGAGTAAGCGTTTTGAGAAAAAAAAGTTCTTTTGAAATATTATTAGAGGTTGTTAAAGGTTGTGGAGTTTTTTTCCTTTAAAAAAGGTTCAGAGAGCTTAACATTCTTAAGAGAAATATTATAATTATGACATTCATTAGTAACATTATACTCTATTGATTCACATTTCTTAATAATTCTGTCGTGTGTGGTATGTTCAAGATATTTGTTATTTCCCTCAGATTCATGAGATTGATTACGTTCCTTCTGTTCATTATTTGTGTAATGTTCATCACAAAGTCTTCTAAGTTCAAGAGCTCCAATAAGAGAATTATAGACATTTTTACTTTGAGAAGTTGTAATAGAAGATACATCAAGTGAAGGAATATTAGTTGACGATCGAAATTTCTCTGTGATTGGATAAGATTGATCGGATCTACTACTAGGAAGGTTATCCTCATCCATATTTAGAAAAGCATCAGATTATATCGATTTTTTATACTTTCAGGTCTACGACGCATAGTAAAGAGCTGATTACTTATATTACTTAAATGTTGACAGAAACTACGTTTATCTTGATTATAATTTTCGAAATTTTTACAAATATATTCAAATAATTTTAAATCTTCCATTTTCTTTGTTGTTGTTGTTGAGAATATTTATTATTATTATTATTATTATTATTATTATTGAAATTTCGATTAACACGGAAATTTCCATTATTATCACTTCCAATAGAAGAAATTGTATTAGGAACATTAGCAATAGGAGAAGGAGGAGAAAGATAATTGGATTCATTATTATTTTCCATAAAATTAAGTCCTCCTCTATCACTATATGAACGTGAAAGGCGACCACGATAATTATTATTTCCTCTTCTACCACCACGACGATTCATATTCATATATATAATAATAATTCAAAATAATTGTATAAATTAAGAAATTATTCTTCTTCTTATTCTTTGAATATTGAATAATTACGATAAATTTGTTTTATTTTGTTTATTGAAAGATGAAGTTTGAATAATGAGAAATGAAAGTTGTGAATCTATAAATTATTTAAAATAAAAAAAAAAGTCTAATTCACATTTTAAATAAAAAAAAAAGTTTAATTCGAATAACTCTCTTACTATAATATTATTTATTATTATTATCATCACTATTACTTTATTACCATAATAATTACTTACCGCTACCACTATTTATAAATTACTTTATTATTACTATTATTAACTACAACTAATAATATACTTGATAATTAAATCAATATGTAATTAATGTAATTAATGAATTTATGAATTTATAAAAATTATATTTATTTTTTCGATTTATTTTATCTAATATTTTCATTTATTAAATAAAGTTTTAAGTAGTAACGTCTATTACCAAACGTAAATAAAATAAAAATTATATTCTAAAATTTAATGAGCTGGAATATAAAGAAAAGAAGAAAGGTTTTAGTTTTGAGCTTGCACTTAGGAAAAATGTATAATTTGATGAAAATTATATTTGTATTGCTATGATAAAAGTAAAAGAAGAAAGTTATTATTATTGCTAGCACATTATTAACATTGTTTACATGGCATGCGTAGTAAATTATTGATATTAGAGTAGTCTGAAGATATAAAATCATCATATAGAACATTTAGATGGAGTTATAAGAGTAACGATAATAATATTATTATTACATTACTACTATATAATAATTATAATAATTGTCCAGAGCATAGCGTAGGACTCACATTTTCAAGCAAGGTCACAAGATTATAGGCACATCCAGAAGTATAACCTTCAATTGGCAGAATTCTTCCTATTGCATCAGAAAATTTTTTTAATGAAAACCTTTGAAAGTTAATGTTAATATAAGTATTTTGTTGTTTTTCGATATGTTATCCTTTAAAGGTCTTTGCTAACCTTTGAAAGTTATCGATTTTGATATTTTCACGTGACGAAATTTTGTGAATATTATTGTTTCGTAGTAAATTCATATCGATAACCTTCAAAGATTATCAATTTTGATATTTTCATGTGCGAAATTTTATGAATATCATTTTTGTAGTAAATTTGTATTGATAATCTTCGAAGATTATCGATTTTGATATTTTCATATATGAAATTTTGTAAATATTATCATTTTCATAGTAATTTCGTATCAATAACCTTTGTTTATGTTAGATATTCATAATATATTGTTTCGATAGTCATCACTTATATTTATATCACTGCGATTTTCAATTGATATTATACTGTCAACAATATCCTTTAAAATTTATCACAGCAATTTAATTGATATTGTATTGTTAACAATGTCTTTCAAAGTTTATCATATTGTTGATTATCATTTCAAAATTTTCTTCGAAGGTTAATGTTTTTTATTTATATAACAAGATCAGTTATCTCATATGACTTATTATTTAACTATATATTCTTTTGTTTATTTTCAAAATAACTACTTTTACTCTCTAAACAATATCATACGAAACTCTTCAAAAAGAAATAAATTTATATTTTTATATTTTTGTTATTGTTATATCAAAATACGTCAAATAAAAGGTAATAATTTAAAATATATTTAATAATATTTATTGACTTGCGTCAATTTTATTTTATAACTTAACAAGTAAATAAATATATTTTATACTTTGTTTACTTTCAGAAATATCTCATTAATTTTAATATATATTTATAAAACACTTCAAAATAGTATATTTATATCTTCTTATAATTTATTTTGTTGTTATATCAAGTACATTAATTTTATAATACTATTACTTGACCTATGTGATTTTATTTTATAATATAAGAATATTAATAATATATATATCAATAGAATATTTTCGAAGAGACAAAAACTAATAAGTTATTTCTATAAATTTATAAGGTAAAAAAATTTAAAATTTTTTTGTATAATTTAAAGATCTTTTTTTAAAGAATTTATTTTATTAAATAATTACATTAAGGTTTTATGTAGTAGTATTTAGAATTATAACAGGTTCTCCCTTTGTTAATATTTTCATAATAACAATATAAGTATTTAAACTATTTATTTAAAAAAATTAATTTACTTAGAATCACAAAACATTATAATATTTAATTATATATAAGTATTTAAAAATATACAATATAATATATTTTAATGATTCAAATAATAGAAAATTTAAATTAATAATATTAACTTTAATTATTATAATAGAAAATTTATAAGAAATATGAAAGAAATTTGAAAAAATCTTAAAAAGGTAAATAAACATCTTTCAAATTTTTGTAAAATTATAAAAAAATAAAATAAAAGCTAAAATATTATTATCTTTAAAAAAGAATAAAGACGAAAGAAGTATCAAGTAATATAATATTACAAAAAATAGAAATCTGCATCATATTTAAAAATTATATAAAAAATAGTTACTCTATATTATTACGTCATCATATGAAAATATATAAAAAAATAAAAAAAAATATTATAAAATATTTATTATCTTTTAATAATAAAATTAATAATAAATTATGTAAAAATTTAGAAAGTAATAAAATATTACAAAATAAAATTTTTTATAATATATATTGAATTACAATGAAAATGATTAAATTTGAAGTAATTTGAAAATGATAAACCTGAAACAAAATATGTTAAAATATTAGTTGTTGAATTTTGAAGGTTTATATTATTGTTAAAAAATTTAATATTGAATTTCAAAGGTTTTTAATAATAAAATAATACATTAGGAAATTTTTGAAAACAAATATATCCAAATATATTTGAACTGAATATATTTGAATATATTTGACCACTCACGCATTTATTCGCATTAATTATTTGAATTTATCTGAATAAATATGTAAATATATTCATATATATTCATTTATTCGAATTTATCTGGATACATTTTTTGAATATATTTGTATATATTCGTGCATTCGAATTTATTTGAATACATTTTTTCAAATATATTCATATATATTCATATATTTGAATTTATTCAGATACATTTTTTAAATATATTCGCATATATCTGTGTAATTCGAATTTATTCAAATATATTTTTCAAATATATTTGCATATATCCATTCAAATTTATCTAGATACATTTTTATACATTTTTCGAATATATTTAAATTTATGAATACAACTTTAAATAACATATATTATATAAATACAATTTTATATATATGTATATATTTTATATTTAAATTTAAAATTTATTATTTATTT